TTTACTACAAAAAACCCCGTTATTTCTCTGTCAAACACTGGCAAGAGTGCCAAATGTCTGTCACCCAATTCAGAGGATTAAGTCTGCTTTTATAGTGCAATTCTTTTAACAATTTATAAAAATACAGATACAGTTTCTTAAGACTTGGTCATAGTCTGTATTTTGGCCTGAATTCTTGCTGCAGAGGTTGAATATGACAGCTGGCAGGAAGCTGAAGGGAGACTATATCCTCCCTCTTTTCCTCACATTTTAGTTGCCACAGTGATTAATCCTCAATTGAATGGCTGTTTTTGTACTTCTCAGTAAAACTAAGCAAACTTAAGTTGAAGACATGCAGTTGACTGAAAAAAAAAGACTCCACATATTCAGCAGGTACAGTACAAGTTCTTGTGATTAATACTTTTCTATATATTAAAAAACACAAATTAGCTTTAGAATGTATGTCCTGTTCTCATTTTTTGCCTTTCTTGTAAAATCTTTGAGCTTTTCCAAAGTCTTCCCAATGCTCTCACCCCCCGCCTCCCCGATTCCTACTGAAGAAATACTACACAAATTCAACTTTATAGAAGCTAGAGAAGGCCTATTCCAGACTTTTGTACTTATATAAAATGTCATATTGGCTGTTTTTGCCAATTAACATGGAGATTAATTAGGAAATTAATTAAGGAATGCAGTAATTTACTTCAGAATACTCCAGAAACTTCAAAATAAAGTATTTAATCTTGTCTCTGGGAGGCTTCTATTTCTTACAGTAGCAAAGTAGAAGTTTCACAAATATCACTGCAAGCTACCCAAAAAAACCAAAGTAACAAGCTCCTGCAACAAAAATCAACCAGGCTGCTTTGGAAGCTTGAACTCCATTTCTTTCATTGTTAAGTGTTTAATTAAAGCTGTCTAGTTTCGTTTTCAATCCAGAAAAGTCTCTGCCTCATTCTCTGTCTTCTTCCCTACTTGGGTGGGAGGGGATCGAGAATGTTGTTGTTGATCCTAAGTCAAATGGTGACAACAATTTATTGATGCTCAACGTGGGGCTCAATCTTAAACCCAGACTATAAATTCTCGCCAATTGGGAGTGTTTAAAATTCCACCTCTGATGGAAGGAATCCTTCAGATAGCAATGGGCAACACTTCAGCTGAATTTAATGATGGAATGAAAAATGAACATAGACTTTCTGCAGACATGTATCTGCTGGACCTTTCTCCCAACATCAATCACAGATGTGGTATGCAGTCAAGAGCATACTGCTCTGTGTAGCTGCTCTTGTTATTGTTTCATGGTTTATCAACGGAGCTGTAACCATAATCAACCGTATAATTACCAGCCTAGTGATACTAGGGGTTATGACACTGATCTTTATGGGGGCACTGTACACTGTATGCATACAGTTAAAGTAGAGATCCTAAAGTAAACAGAAAGGTCCATGTTGATAATGGCAGCAGCAGGTTCCATTTTACCTCTCCATTTTCTCTCAAGCTGAATCTCCTGACTCTTGATCTGAATAGCGTTGTTGCAGTAGGGATGCTTCTGCTGAATGTTTATAATGTATTGTGGATTGTAGGGTGAGGTGCTGTTCCACTCACTGCCACTCCCCCACAGGCAATGCTGCTGCCACTCATGATGCTGTTACCACCACTAGTAATGCTACAAAAAAAAAGTTGCTTCAGCAAAGATTAAATCCACTCCTATTCAAACCAAACTAGTTAATCCTGTGACCAGGAGCAAAGAAAAAGGTGAAACAATCCTCCCTTTTTACCCACTCCCGTCTGAGACATCCGGAGTTTCTTCAAGCAACAATAGAGACAGAAATTGAGGAAGCAGACTATTTTAAATGAGGTGATGGAGCAGGTACCTCTCAAATAGATAAAGGAGTAGGCCCTTCTCAGGCAGATAGAACAGCAGGCCATTCTCAATCAGATGACGATGATGATTTTGTCCAGCCTTTTCTCTGAAGGAACTTCACCTCATGGGAAAGGACTTCACCCATATTGATTGTGAGGGACTTCTTCCTTGGTTGGTCTGATGCTTTGATAGTGGGGCTAAAACATACAATGTGGAAGAGAGAGAAGCCAAGCAGTTGGGATCCCTTGCCAGAGATGCTGGTATTGACCGAGCACTTGGTAGTAAGATGGGAACTACTACCCTGTGGGACCAACTTCTTTCAGCTATAAGGGAGAGATATCCCCACAAGGGTGACATTGAATGGCAACAAAGAAGATAACCCACTCTTGAGAAAACCATCATGCATTTGAGAGAAATAGCTGTGCGAGAGGTGATCTATGATAAAGATCTTACAAATCCTGATGACGTTCTGTGCAACACACAAATCTTCCGGAGGTTTGCTCAGGCTGTACCAGCAGCACATGCCCCTATATTCTCCCTCATGGGATGCACTGATGACAACACAAGACCAACTGTGCATGAAGTGGCTTTCAGAGCATGACAGAACGGAGACAATCTCTGATTCCCATCAGTTCCACACCTCAGCCATTGAACAAATGACAGAAAGAATACGATGCCAAATAGATGGGAACATAAACCCCAGTATCTCCCTAGAGAAAACTGGTCATGTGTTGCAGCCATTGAGAGAAGGCAAACTGCTATGAGAAAGCAGCTAGAGAGACACAACCCACTTTACTGCCACCTGTGGTCTCTCTCACATACTTAAGGAGGACATGAAAATATGGGACAAGAGACCCACTGATGTCCTCCAGATATGCACGCAAAAGCTACTAAACAAAGGCAGAAGATGGTTCTTCCAAGAAGAAGGCTGCACCAGTCTCCATCCAGGATCGTGTTTCAACCTCAAATGCTCAGAGGTGCCCTGCCTCTGGCCAGGAGGAGGAGAGGGACAACCAAGTTTACTGGACTGTGTGGATTCAGTAGCCTGGCACATTAGAACCACAAAAGTATAAAGCTTTGGTGGACACTGGAGCACAGTGCACCCTAATGCCATCGAATCATAAAGGGACAGACTTTGTCACTACTTCTGGAGTGTGTTGCTATACAATGTCTGAGAAACAGAACAATTATGTTAGAAAGCAACATCAGTGACAAATTTCAGTTGATACAAACTCTGCTCTTCCTCAATAACTATCAGGTTATAACTAACATTTCCGTATTTAATACCATGGTTTTATTTACAAGAAATAGTAATAACAACTTAAAACTGTTCAGCTGTATCTTTAATACTACACATAATGCTACTTCAATCTGTTGAAAAACTTTTTCATTAAACTTCATTTGAAATCAGTATTCTCTTTATAACACAGCTAGTGGCTCTGACAGTGAATGTCCTAGCTTAAAACTGCTGGCAAATATGTGAAAAATGACCAGCAACACCTGATGCCCAGAAGATCAACAAGGACAGTGTTTTTCACAGAACACCTTTTAAAATAAAAATAAACTAATGAAGAAAGGAAAATAGTAGCGGTAACATTATAAGTAGATCATATTTCTAAGTTGTCTATGAAGCCCTGGCAGCATTTTTTTTACGCCAAGCACAAAAAATTCAAAGCTCCACATAGAAGCATGGTCAGCCATCTAGGGATTATTTCTAGATTAGCGCCCAACATCAAAGAAAGTACAGGAAGCAAAGGAAGAGGCAGCCTTCTCCATAATTACTGATGCTTTTCTTCCTACTTAAATCTCCAAGAGCATTGATAGTACTGTTGCTTGTGAGTGAAAAATAGATACCTTAGAAGGACTGACAAGGTAATCAAGAGAGTAATTTGTAACAGTTTAATTTGTAACAGTTGCAGTCACACAGAGTCTAAATATTGAGATTCAAATTACATGAACAATACAAATGATTCCCACAGACTAGTTTTAAACCTATGTGGATCAACAGACTTACTCAAAGTACTCTCTTCAGTCTTCTTTCATTTGTATTTAATTTTATTAATGTTGTCAGCCACTGCCATTAAATAAGGACCTCTCTACAGTATTCTTGAGCCTTTCTGACCAACTTTTCTGTTAATAAGAGACATTCTAATGCAAATGTGTTAGCATTGAAAAGGCCCCACTTCTGCTGGTTGGTCTGGTTTGATCTTCCCAGTGCAAAAATTCTTTGGCATCCCTGCTAATGGCTTAATTAAATATAGTACATCAACAACACTGGAAGAAACTCTTAGCCACTGCAGGTGTTCAACACCTCAGAACAACTGAAGGCTTCTGTCTAACATTTCGATACTGATTGCTACTACGGCTGTAATGATGAAACTGCACATTCACCAATTACTTTTTCTATGCAGGTGCTTTATCTTAAGAATCTGTCTAGGAAACAGCAGCTGTTTCTTCCAAGACAAACAACAAAGTATCAGATAATCTGGCTAGATTAAAACCACTATGTAACAAGAACAAAAACCTGGGAGCAGCACAGAGCAGTACCTCAATTTATTCCAGATTTGTATATATTCCAAATGTAATTAAACAAGATGCACAACAAACAAAAAATGAGTGCTCCTGCTAAACTCTTGTTTTGTGTTTCATACATTAAGCATAGACAATAATGACCGTTACTTTAACCCATTATAGAAACTGCATGCGTCCATACCCAATAAAACCCCTCAAATAAATAAAATCTGCAAACTGATTTATGTTTGACTTTCTATGCTACAGTACATATTGTGGTAACTAGATCTTTTTAAACTGAATCCATTACAAACTGAAGTTTTTTCAAGCCTCAGATCAGAAAAACATGGAACAGAATTTTATTTTGAACAGTTAAATCCTTCACTTTACAGTTTTTCCTCAGAAAAAACCCACAGAGAGTGTTCTGCTGATTAATTCCCAACTCTCTCAGAACTGGTCAATCTAAAAAAACCCAACAAAATAAAACCAAAACATGACTGCACCTGCATTTGAGCCTCCTCCTCCCATCCTCAATGGCTTTGATCATTCATGGTGCCATTAGCAGGAAAACAAGTTTGTTAGAGCTTTTTAAGATGAAAATTTAGTCTAAAAACAGTAGAAACAACATTTCCCAAGCATTCCTCTTTACCTTAGCACTACAGACTGCTACATTAGCAGGAAGCTGGGAAAACTGCTTCAACTCAAACACATCTCGCACTGCCCATCGGCTCAAGCGATTCTCAGCCTTGCTGGATCCAACCACATTCTGATTTGAATGAATATATGCCACTTCTTGAACACCATCTGATGAAGCAGGAGAAAGACAGAGTCAAAGTTTTATTTCAAAATCCGGAAGGTATATAGCTGCACTGAAGAAGGACATCACTATTAAAAAAATCCAAACCAACAACCCATACCTTTTATAGAAAAATTGTAAAAGTTCTTACTATTTCACTCAGCACCAAGTTTCTCAGTTCTATGAAATGGTGAACAATCATTAGACTTATTCAGATTTATCCAGGCAGTTTAATACTGCTCCCATTTCACTATGGGATTTTTTCAGATGGGCAAAGGAGACTTTTTAAAGGATCTATGATTTAATGGCTGCAATATTAATGCTTAAAGTTAAGTCTCAAATAGAATCAGATCTTCTATGTGGTACTTCAAACTCCCACGTCACAAAACCAAAAGTTTATATATTAAAAAAAACCACCTTAACAGCCGTGTCAAGAGTTCAGGTTTTACAGCAGAAATAATTTGATTTGTGAATTCTTAATTAATCTTCCATTCCACAAACAGTAAGTGTTTAACAAAATACTACAGAGCAACCCATTACCTCAGAAGACAGGAAAGAAAGGCTAATAAGTAAATACGGAGATACAGAAAGACAGTACTAAATAATGTAGACCATTCACTAGTATCTTGTAACAAAAACAAGAACTTCAAACCTGCCAACGATTAACATACTACTACTTTATTTAAAATGAAATAAATTTCTAGTTACCTAAAAATCTGTCCATTGATTCAAATTTTTTCTCTTGATGTTCAAATTCAGTTGTACTTGCAGAAGTTCTACGCACAGCATAATTGCTAGACTTCGTTTGTGCAACAGAGCTACCTTGAATAGGATGAAGCATTTTAGATCCAAACTGAACTCTGTCTCTCTGTCTTTTACACTTGTACCTTTGCTTTCTGGTATGAATTTTCTCAACTGGTGAGTCATCTTCAGAGGATGAAAATTCATCTATATTCTGAGAATAACTTTCCTTTTCTTTTCTACTAGGCTTCTTTGATTGTAGCACAGATTTGGAGAAGTCATCTAGTACACTGTTACAGAAATGTCTTTCTTTCCCTTTTAGAAAGGTGAGAGTTCTTAACCTTGTTGATTCAGAATTGTGGGAAATTTCAATATCATCTGACTCATCACTTACATCATTTGTCCCTTTTAAATCTCTTCTGCTGTTCTTGATGTCTTCAAAAGACATAATTTTTCTGAAATCTGACTTAGTACTATGCAATTGACGTTGCCTACTTCCTCCCTTAAATAGCAGCCCATCTTCTTGCTTTGGTATCTCCTCAGGATTTTTATATGCTGAACTGCAAATTTCAACTTTTTTAGTAAGCATTGGTTGCTGGTATGCTGGAACTTGGGTAGGAAAGATAACATCATTGTTCTCTTCAGAACTCCAGTCTGTTTCAATGACTACATCACTTTGCTTTGAAATGCATTGATCCTTACTTTCGCTGTCCCCTTCCTCCTCTGAGCTGGACAAAACAAGCCCGTCTGTACTACACGCATCCTGTTCATCACTTTCATCTGGTGAATGAGCAGCTCTCTCGTGCTCCAAAATATGTTCATTGCTTTGACATTTCTGGAAATCACCATGCTTGCTACTTCTATTTCTTCTTATAGCATGATCAACAGAATTTGACTTACAAGACTTGTAATTATTATACTCTTTGGTGGTTTCAATTTCTCTCTGCAACAACTTAGAGAATCCACACTGCATTAAGGAAAATCGTCCCTTTGTTACCATTAAATTATTTGCATTTCTAGGCTTCCTTTTGCCCCATTTTTTCACAGAGGTCTCCAAAATGTCATCACTTAAGTCATCAGAAAAATCCATTTCTTCTCTCTTTACTTGTCCAGGATCTCCATCTTCTCTACAGTCCAGTTGCTCACACTAAAAATAACAGCAATTTATAGCAAAGGCATTTAAAGCATAAATAATATATGGAACATACCTAATTCCAAAGCAGTGTGAAAAAAAGGGGGTTTTCACTATGTTATGAAATAAAAGAATATACAAAAAAGTATTCCAATACACAAACAGAAGTAAAAAAACAAATCAGAGAAAAAATTGCACAGAAGTATTTGGCAGAACAATTTTTTTAGCAGAACCATGAAAATAACAAAAAAATATGCTGTGCACTACTAAAACAACATGTCCTCACAACCTACACTCATTTTTGTAGCTTACAGTGATCTTCTTGCAAATGTAATCTTTGAAAGGAGTGTGAAAAGAGACTTCAAAACTTAATAGTGTGTAATGACATTCATAAAAAAAAAAAAATCACACAGTTGCCAGTCTGCTGGTATATGGAGGCTAACACAATTTAAAAGAGCTATGAGTTCTTAACACTGTGCTCTTAAAATCAATTGAGTCCTACTTTAATCAAACAAAAATTACTTCCAGGCCACATTAAAGCATTTTTAAGCTACAGAAGGCCAGAATAAAAATCCAAAACTGCTTACTACTGAGATAAGAAACATGACAATAGGTAAATACAAAGTCAGAAGGGTAAATACTAAACTTTCACACATTAAGAGAAGTTGCAAAATCAACATATTAATTCTAATATCCAAAAGACAAACTAAAGAATTTACTGTTCATCATGGAATCCACTGTGAGATCATGATAATACAATAATGTGAGGTTATGAACAATATTTTGGCATACTGCTTTAAATTAATACTATCTTTTACCCACAGAAATCTCCAGGAACCATAAGTGACAGCAGTTTATTTTCAGTACCATTCAGTGTTATCTAATCTAACAATATTTTCACACTCTGAGGCCAAAAAAGACACCTCACCTTTTCTGAGTTGCATGGAGGAGTCTCTTCCTTTAGCCATGTAGTTGCTGTCATGACTCCTGCTTCTACTTGCCCTTCCCTCTAAAAAAAAATAAAATCAAGGATGAACAGAACAAAAACTGTATCTGTTCAAGTTAACAATGGCAAGGACAGAAAAAAATAGGTTTTTTTTTTTTCTATAAAGATATAAGCATGGGAAGTACAATCTGCAAAGTCCAAATTAAGACATATTTTGGCACTTACTCTTCTTTGATCTATAGCCTGCAGGAAAAGTAGCATACAGCATAAAGTGGGGTGACCTCATGAAGACAATGTTCTAATTTTTCACTTTTTACCAAAGCAGAATACCTGCTACAATGCTGACATTACATACCATGTTTTAAATTTTATTTAATTTAAATAATTTTTTAGCATAATACCTCAAAGTACACGATCTTATACCACATGAGTCTTCAGCCATGCTGCCTTTATACCTCTATTTATACCTCTTTATACCTCTATACCTCACATTCCCCAGTCTCTTCCTACATAGGCAAAATAACAAACTAAACAGAAGACAGAAAGAAACCTAAAATAAAACTGTAATAAATTTCAAAATGCAAGCTAGCTGCAGCAAATATGCTAGATAGAAAAAGATATAATACAGCATATACTTAAAACCAGTGTGCACTATATGGTATGGATTTGTGCCAACACTCTTTTCTAGAATTACTATGAAATTAATCTTAAAATATGAAGCTTCCATTACTTATTTCCACCTTGTAACATTTTTAAATCTAGCATGATAAAATACTTTTATTGAACAGTTTTTGACATTTTAAAATGTTCTATTAAAAGGTTACTATGTAAAAATATTTTACAAGCAGTATTCTGGCTTAAAAGGTCACTCTGATGTGCTAATGAATAAAAGGTATCTGCACAAAGTTGACAATATGTGAAAGTACCACAGAAATAAGCTACAGCATTTTTTTATTAGGAAAACAAGTATTTTAGCAAACTTTCTGCAATTTAGTCCAAACTTTTCCCAGTTTTTGTTTGATTTCAGGAAATCTATCTGATCTACATCAGAACAAGAAATTAGCATGCTCGTTTAAGGTACTGCATAGTCAGGTACTTTTAAAGTTTCTTTGTTTTATAAAGTATTTTGCTGTAATTTTGAATGGCAACACCTCATGAGGGAAGGAAAAATGTAAAACTAATATCCAGAAGTCAAATGGATAGGACTTCACACCTCCAGGATGTCTTTGGTAAGACAGGATCCATGAGTCCTAAGTTTGAAAAGGTTATGGATCCCAAAAAGCTCTCCTTGATGTTCCTTGGATCCTTGCACTGCTTCGAAATACCGCTTGGCATTTTCACTTCCAACTACTGCACAGTGAAGTTGCTAAAAAAGAACATAAGAGATTTCAGAAATGTTTGCTCCATCAGGTCAGAATTTCCTGCCATCCACATTATCTACACAGCATTAGTTTGAGAAGACAGAAATTCTTAAGGGAGAATAATTCGTTTTAATTTCCCTGGCAGATGTTTTCTGTATCACACACCCACTATAGAAACCACTGACACCCCTCTGTATCTTTAGTGTTCATCTTTTCTCTATACGAAATTCTCACTATTTTTCATAGTCATTTGCATCACGTTTACTTGGTAAAGACTAAGTAAAAGCCACAAGATCACTCCTATTGATCTCTGAATATTTTAATTATCATGCAGTCTTGCTAAGTACATCAAACAGAAGTGACTCAAAAATATTTGAGGTAAAAAGGAAAGACAATTTAATAGTTTATCAGGCAGAACTAAAACATTTTTGAAGACAGGCATTTTTACAGATATTTCAGAGATTGCAAATCCCCATGTTTCCATAATGGGTACATTTGATTTCAAGTGGAATTATGTCAAAACCATGGTTTTATGATACTGAACCTGTAATATTTTTGTAACTGTCTCTAAGCAGTTGGTAGTTCTTCAGTCCTACCCCCTTCTAGTTCTGGCACTGAACAGGCATTTTCCTAGACAGCACAACTCTTCAATTACGTAAGCCGGTAAATACACAGTTACATTCTAGCTTAACTTCAGATAAGCATAATTTACTCTTTCCTGAATTACACATGGCATTTACAATAGCACACTTTAGGACACATATATATCTTATTCATGATTCTATTCTGTTAAGATTTTTTTTATATATATCTTCAGTCATATCCGGATAGGTCATATAAACACATATTAAAAAGTAAGGAATTCTAAAATCAAATAGAACCTTCAGTAAGGACACACTAAACATGATAAAGTATTTTCACAATAATTAATTTCATGAAAAAGAGGGATGACCCTGAGCTCACTTCATAGCACCACTTGTATAGTTCAAAAGCCACACATCCACATGTGCTCATGGTTTCTGAATTTTCAATAGCAGATAAACGCATTTTCTTCACAATTTACTGAAGATTTCCTAGCTGTGCTCAATTGTTAATAGTAGGGAATGCAATCCATGTGCAGACTTAAAAAAAAGCACAACGAACAATAACTTACAATTACTCTGTTTATTGCTTCTTATTCAACTTGAAAAACACAAGTCCACTTGAAAAAAAAACCACTCAAACAAACAAAAACCAAGAACAAAATCAAGAGCCTTTCAAGAAGTTTTATAACTGCCTTTTGGAATCCAAACAGACAGGTCTTCCTTACATATGAGATCACTAACTCCAAAGACCTCTGTGATGCAATACTCTCCTGATTTTAGTGAATGGAGTCGGTTGTAATTTGCTATTGATAACTTTGTTAGCCTTTCAGAGACTTCTCCTATTGACCCTTGATGTTGAAATGAATCCTTGGAAGTACCTCATACAAGAGAAACTTTGGAACAGGATGTTCTCTAAGCTTTCCATGAATGTGGATATTAAGAATAAATCGAGTGGATTATTTGTAATGAAGACTCCTTTTTCAAAAAATGCTTTTTAAAATAAATAGCTACCTGACTTCAAATGCTGCAGATACTAAAACTTTTGCAGATATCATAGAATCACAGAATCATTTAGGCTGCAAGTGACCTTCAAGGTTATCTAGTTCCAATTCTCCTGCATAAGCATGAACATTTCCCTCTAGAGCAAACTGCTCAAAGTTCCATCCAACCTGGCCATGAACACCTCCGGGGATGGGGTTTTGTGTGGCTTCCACAACTTTCCTGTGCAACCTACATCAGTGTCTCACAGTCAAGAATTTCTTCCTAATGTCTTATCTAAATTTACCCTCTTTCAGCTTAAAAGCATACCCCTTGTCCTATCACTACATGCTCTTGTAAGAAGTGCCTCTCCAGCTTTCTTGTAGGCTGCTATATACATTCCAGCTGGAAGGTAGCTGTATGTGTTTTACAAGTATTTAAAGAAAACAGTTCTAGTCTCTGTATAACTTAATAAATGTATGTTTTATAATTAAAATTACAAAAGTTACAGAAAATCTTGAAAACAAACTATTTTTTGTTCATTGACAATCACTAAATAACATATCATTGCTTCACAAGTCAAAGTAACAGCATATACCATAAAATCGAGCTCAGCTACGACTTTATTATTAGTTTAGCTTTCAGTCTTTGAAAGAGCTAAAAAGATCTCCCAACTCAAATAGTTTGTCAACTTTACCTGTTTATAAACTTGTCGCAAGTACATCATCTCTTCCACAGTTCCCAAGGATATCAATCTAAACACTTTAACATCTTTGTGCTGGCCAATCCTATAAGCTCTGCAAGGACAGTGTCATATTAAAAAACATCTATTATCAATGAATAAATAAAAGAAAGCTTTTTGAGACAGTAAAAAAAATAAAAATATTAAAAGCATTCCAATAAATAAGGAGTACTCTAAATCATTTATGAGTTGTTTGTTTTTGCTTTAGTTTCTGTTTGGTTTGGTTTGTGGTTTTTTCACTTTTCTAAGTTTTCCTTATTATTTCATTCAATTTTTCTTTACCCTTAGTTTTCCAGTTGAAAAAGTGTTCTCCTCAATTTGTATCACAAAGGCCTGTCACTCATCTCTTTTGAAAACAAATCTTCCACTGTGTTTCCTCACGTTGTGGGTTTTTTTCCCCTCTCTGTTTTCATCTGCTCTTGCACAAGATATTCTCCTATTTGCATTACAGAGGAGTTAGATGATGGGTTAGATAGGGCAGCCTTTTCTTTACAAAGCACTTTGCAATGTAATAAAAGCAGCTACTGAACAGGGTTCTACCTGAACAGCAAATCCTGAGACTTCTAATAGATTATATTCTGAAAATTCAAGAGACACTGAACCAATTTATAGAAATGTGGTTGTACATGGATTCTTTAAAGACAGTCCTTTCAACAAAACACATTTCTGATACACATATTTCTCCAGAACAGGTGCACATTAACATCTCTGAGAAGTCAAAAAGATCCTTAAAACTGAATTACAGAATTAGATGGGAAAACAGAAACAAGTTTATTTCTGCTCATATAAAAATTATGAAAATCTACTCAATTTCAAAGGCTTCCAATATTTTTCAGCTGTTCAAAAGTATGTCCTGATTCCTAGAGAAGCATCCTATGATCAAGAAGCCTTGAAAGAAAAACTTCAGATTCCTTGAAATCCTTCAATTGCATAATACCAGAGATAGACACAAGTGCTGAAAAGATGCTGGTCTCCACAAGGGTGAAGCAGCAATGAACATAAACGGTTTTCTTCAGAGATTCTAGAATTCAAAACATCACTTGAACTAGGGACAATTACAACAGACTCTGGTTTGACAAACACAGGAAAAATGCCACTCAGCTATACACACACACACCGATATACTGATCACAAAAAGTAACTATGCCTTTTTTTTTTTTTTTAATGAGCTCACTAGCATAGTGTCACAAAAATAAAATGGAAAGTAAGTAAAATTCAGAGTGAAAAACAAAAACATCAAAGCTAACAAACAATTTAGCAGCACATATCTTACTGTCTTGGGGACAAGTCAGACCATGTAAAAAATTCCTTCCCTTAGGAAAGCTGAACAAATACATTACAAAATCAAAGCAGAGCAGAGTACAAGAAGAATCAAGTTCTCTGTTTTGAGAGTGTACCTGTCAATAGCTTGAAGATCATTTGCAGGGTTCCATGTAGGATCAAACAGTATAACAACATTGGCACCAACAAAATTAAGACCCAGTCCACCAGCCCTAAAGAAATAAAAATGAAAAAACAGAACTATTTGACAGTAAGAACAAGACAGTAAGAAAAACAGAAGAGGTTTGGGTTTTTTCAGTGTATTAGATCCATATTAGCATACTCTTT